CTGCCGGTACGTGCGCTGGGAGCGCACCGTTTAAGTTTGAAAGTTGAAAAGTTTGTGTGTCTGAAACGCTATGTGATACAGTACAGTTTACACAGTACATGTTCTGTAGCTACTATTGCACTAAATGGTAACACTTGAATACGTTATGCAAATATGCAACTTGTTTGTTGAAATGTTAATAAATGGGAGCTTCCTCAAACAGCCATCTCTTTCCCGACAATCCCCTCTGTGCACGAACCCTTACATATGGTAATTAAACATTAAAACACCTGCGGCTTATAGTCCAGTGCGGCTTATATATGTACACATCATTCAATTTAGCTGCTGCGGCTTATATTCAGGTGCGCCTTATAGTCCGAAAATTACGGTATATGAATTGTCCAAAGAGGTTGTATTCTACAGTCTGCCTGAATGTAATCATTGCGTAGGTGTGTAGTGTGATTCTGTTTATTTATGGCACCCCGTTGGATTTGACGTCATCTGAACAGGACATCGCACGCTCACTGCTTGATAGCGTGCAAAGGCCCGTTTACGCCGGTTGTTAAACAACATCGTTATGGGGAAATGCAAGTTAACTTCCAAATGGTTGGAAGATAAAGAGGAAGGACAATCAATACTGTGTATAGTCAATGTGAGGTAAAGTGTGTCGCCAAGGTAACCGGTTAAAACTCAGTGGCGATGAGGTCTTAAAATGTATGGAAAGGGTCTTAAAAAAGGTCTTAAAAAGTTTTCCATTTGACTTCAGGATTCCTGCACATACCCTGTTGTCATAACCTTTTTTAATTTGAGGCTTAGATTACCTAATGTTTGTCTGAGACATGTTGTGAGGTGTAGCTGGTTTCCATCTGTCATTTGTTGAAAGGAATATGAACAAGAATAAGTCAACACATTGAAAAAGGAGATGTTGGAAGTCTGTTCGCTCCCGTTGACAGGGTCTGTTTTCATATCTCGGGAAGTTCCCCATCTCACCGTGTGTGTGTTGTGTGTTTCTCCCCGCAGGACCCACATCTGAGGAATCTGGAGAGCCGGTTCGCCCTGCAGCAGAAGATCGTGGAAGCGGCCATCAAGCTGTCCAACGAGGGCGAGCTCGGGAAGACGGTGAAGAAAAAGAGAAGAAGCAACTGCCTGGACGCCATGAGGAAGCTGGAGGAGATCGAGAAGGAGATCAACGCCTACCGGGTCAGGAAGGGGAGGAAGCCCACCCAGAGGGCCTCACTGATCATAGCAGGTACGTGAACAACAGCAGAGGGAAAATATCTAATCTATGTTTTGGTTTTCAAACATTCTCTGAGGACTGTTTTTTTTACTCTTTAACCTTTTTCTCATCTATTAGATAGGACCGTTATTCTAATTGTCATAGTGATTTTTTCCATTCCATATATTTCATTGACCAGTTTGTCTTATTCTGAAGGTATTAAGTAATCCCCTGTTTAATACTAACTACTCTCGTTATGTGGAATAAGTAACAATCCCTTTTCTCTCTCGTGTTACCAGACGACGTGAACCCCTCAGACCTCAGCTCTCTATCGGACAGCCTCACTCTGGATGATGGTGAGTGCTGAGCCCTAGCCAGTGTGCATGTGTTCACTAACGCCCCCCCCTCCCCCTCCCCACTGCATTTCATATCCGTTTGAACCACTTTGTATCCCCCAGATGATGAGCTCAGTTCCCAGAGGCAGCGCTCCAGATCGGTTCAGTATTCCCCGAGACCGCACCACGCAGACACGCTGGACATCCACTACAACAACGACAGAAGGCTCTCGGACCAGCAGCCGGACAGCAGGTACACAGATACCTCTGACACCCGTGAAATATATTAAAGGTCACCTATCATGCTATTTTAACCCTTAGATGCACGAGTGACTGCACACTACACTCTTGTAAAATATTTAGTATTATATTTTGGTTCACACTAGAAATATTTTTTAAAGAAATGTTTCACTATTTATAATTTTAGACATTTTTTTGATGCAAAGAACATATCAATGCAAAGATCTCCGCTATTCTGAGACTCTCAAAGTATTCCAGTCCCTTTTCAAAACTCATCTCTTCTCCTCTTGTCTACTCATAGCCCCCCCCCATCAATCCATGCCGGTTGATCAAGTTTGATAGTCCTACCCTAACTTTCCCTTATATTGTAAAGCGATTTTGAGTCCTTGAAAATCCCTATAAATATATAATGTATTATTATTATTATTATACTGACAGGTATCAGATCTTGCTGTGTAAAATATTCTTCCTGAGAGGTGTCACTTGTAAAGTAGTCTGTGTGGTCTACAGTGAATGTATTCCTGACAGCAACAGGTGATAAGAATCAAAGGTTCCCATAGGATGCCATAGAAAATGCATGCGGGTCATTTTTGACCTACTTATGGAAGCTTGGGGTAGTCATACAAAAACAATTTCTTAAAATGTATCAAATGTACATTTAAAATGTGAATGGTATGATATCTAAAACATGTTTTTTGAGGAATAGCTGGAATAT